CCAATAAATTTTGTATGGATTTTTATCTCAGTTAAGTTTAAGGATCCATACCAAGATATTATATGAGTTCAATTAGCTGGGTTAGAGGGTATAACTACCTAGACTAGAGGTAATTTATGGATTTAATTACCTGGACCAGAGGTAATTTATGGGTTTAATTACCTGCATACTGCATACGAGGTGTATGCATAGGTACCTTACCTATTGTTAAGGTATGAAGTTTTTATGAACTCTTATTACAACTTTTGATGTCGGTATACCTTGGGAAAATTTTAGAATTCAATAGATAAATTTGCAATTAAATTCAAATCAAATATGATAATTAATATCCTACAAATCAATAACTTACCAGTTTTAGGAATTCATAATTTACCTTATTTATGTTTTAGGTGCATAACTGGAACAAAAAATAAAAAATAAAAAAAAGTAAATATCAATAAATTGAAATAGGCATGTAATCTTATGTGGCGCAAAAGTCAAAGTACTTGGATCAATAACAATTTCTGCGTGGATTGCACCCAAAATCTCTCCTCATAATTGGACTTATGCCAAATTTTCTATTTATTTTATTAGTAGTATTGGTTTTCTTTGAGTTACCAAAGAAACTATTAAATAAAATTCCTTTTGATTCAAAACATTCCATACATAAAAAAACTAACCACAACCAAAGCATTAAAAATATAAAAACATGCAAACCACAACCAAAGCATAAAAAAACCAAACATAACTAAACGTAAAACATAAACATTAAAATCTTAAAAAACATCTTCACTTCACTTCATTCACCGTCATTGCCTTTCACCGCCCATAAATGCTCTATTAAGTCAACTTGACGGCGTTCATGAATATATGACGATTGCATCTCTGTATATCGATCAATCATACGGTTCATGAAACGACCATCTCTAACCAACGGTTCATGCTCCAATGGTTCTCCATTTTGCCCTATGGGTTTTTCATAAATTCTTGTCAAGGTCGTGTTCATGGGATCCGGTTCATACACCTCTTCAGCCTCATAATCATACTCATCCTCCACAATCATGTTATGGAGGATGATGCATGTCATCATTATGCTCCTTAACACCTCCTCATCAAACATACGTGCCGCACCCCTAATGATCGTCCACCGAGCTTGGAGGATACCAAAGCATCTCTCCACATCTTTTTTGTATTTCTCTTGATATAAGGCAAATAATTTTTGCTTCTGGGTCCGGGGATGCGGAAGTGTTTTCACAAATGTTGTCCACCTCGGGTAGATGCCGTCAGCTAGATAATACCCAGTCTGGTAGACGGTATTGGTGATTTGATAGGTGATTTGCGGGGCTTCTCCTCTCAAAACATCGTTGAACACCGGGGATTGACCTAGGACGTTCAAGTCATTTTGAGATCCAGAAACTCCGAAGAAGGCGTGCCAAACCCATGTATCGAATCTTGCAACGGCTTCAAGGATGATGCTTTTTTGGCCTTTCCGATTCCCATAATCGCCTTGCCAAGCAGTTGGGCAATTCTTCCATTGCCAGTGCATGCAGTCGATGCTACCAATCATTCCTGGAAATCCTCTAGCTTCGGCTTTCTGTAGAAGTCGTTACAGGTCCCTGGGCGTAGGTCTGCGCAGGTAGTCCCTGGTGTACAGAGTTTCGACTGCATCACAAAATCTAACCAAACACTCCAAAGCAGTGGACTTCCCCATCCGGACAATCTCGTCCACTTGATCAGCAGATGCACCATACGCCAACATTCGTATAGCAGCTGTGAACTTTTGTTCGGGAAGCAGTCCCAAACCACCAGCACAATTTCTCTTTTGAACAAAGTATTCATCATAATTGCAAATATCATGCATGACTTTATTGAACAAATGTTGTTGCATTCTATACCGCCCTCGAAAATGAACATCAGAGTATAGAGAAGTTGGGATAAAATAATCTTCCATAAGATTCTTACCCCGAGAATGCCTATGTCTGTCAACATTCGGGCCACGGCCTTCATGTGAACCACAACTGCTCTGGTTTTCTTCATCAAGCAAAGCCACAACCATGACAATTTGCTGATCTAGTTCTCTCTGCACTCTTTTGCTTGCAGCTCATCTACACCTTCTTTCTCTTATTTCTCGTTCTTGCCTCTTCCATGTCTGCCATTGAGAATGAAATATGGAATCTGAAATCTATAATCTGAGAAATGAAATTTTTGAGAAGATGTAGTGTGAGAGGTTTGTGAGCTGAGCCTTAGTTTTATAGAAAAATTTAGGTCGATAGACATGACACGTGGCGCAATTTTATAGGGTGAAAATCTTATCCGAAATTTGAAATTCAGATGAAATTTATCTGAAATGTGAAATTCAAATGAAAAGATGAAATTCAAATGAAATTTATCTAAAATTTGAAATTCCTATGACACGTGGAGCAATTTTATAGGGTGAAAATCTTATCCGAAATTTGAAATTCAAATGAAATTTATCTGAAATTTGAAATTCATATGAAATTTATATGAAATTCAAATTTTGAAATTTATCTGAAATTTGAAACAAAAATTTATCTAAAATTTGAAACCGACAATCTTATCTGAATATTTCATCAAAAAATCTCATCCGAAAATATTGTCCAAATTAATTTTTTAGGTAAACAAATTTGTGAAAAAAATCAAAAAATTGAATAGTACTTGCCCTTTGCCATGGCAACTGCTGGAAGTGCAACTTACTTTTTGCAAGAGCAGACAGTATTCACGTGAATAATATCAGCTCTAGCCGTGTGACTGCTGGAAGTGCCCTTAATCTCAACCCTTAATTTTTAAAATGAAATATAAGCCCTTATACGATTGGCTGCACCGGTACAATCTATGTACCACAGAATTTTCGTTAAAGTGAAGGAGAGAGCATGGTCTTAAATATCGGAGGTATCGGAAGTCAAAAAACACGGAAATATCGCAGGAAATATCGGGATATTATCGGTATCGGAAAAAATTGAATAAAAACCACGGAAATTGTAAGAAAAACTTGAAAAATTTTATTGAAACTTTGTAGGATGTTTATTTAGTCAATTATCTATTAGTTTATCACAAAAAATTGGAAGGAAATGCATTGCATGATGGATTTAATTGATTTAAGTTGATTATATAGCGAGCTGGCAAACACCGTAAGTGTAGAAATATGTAGTAATTAATGAAAGAAGATTAAACACACCATAATCATTTATATATAATGAATTACTACAATATTTTACACTTTATACATTGCATGGTAAGATACATGAGTGACTTAGTACCACATAGAGTTCCTATGAGGTTCAAAATTTTCACTATCTTCATCATCTCTATGTGTAGAGTAAGTATATTTTGAAGAGTAGTCATCAAATGATAAATCCCCAAAATAGTTTTCCATGTAATTGTTAACATGCCACCCATATGGATCCGAGATTGGTTGACGTTGTCCATAAGCAAAATCATTTGAAGATTGAGTCTCGGATTCTTTCCATGTGTCACTTGATTCCATCCCAACAGGAATGGGATATGAAGGGTAGGGAAATGGTTGGTTATGAGTATAACCATAGTTACTACTCATCTCATGGGAAAATTTGTTTCTTGCAAAAAGAATTCAAAACAAAACCATGTATATATATAAATATTTTAGTATTTTCACAAAAACATAAGTGATATGGTGGTTAAGGTGTTGAAGGAGTAAAATGGGAGGGGTTTGAATCCCTCTATGCGCAACAGGAGAGGTTTTTCAAAAAATTTCATGTATTTTTTGGGTTTAGTATCGGGATATTATCGATAATATCTCGATATATTGCCCAAATCATTCATAAAAATGTTGAAATTATCGGACCCCCAAAAATCAGATATTATCGGGATAATATCGGGGATATTATCGATATTTAAGACCATGGGAGAGAGAACGGTGTGTTTTTGCAACCTACAGGAGCAGGTTTTGTAGTTAAATTTCTAACAATTTGTCCTTTTTGTATTAAATTAAATGTGAACCGTTGATCTAATCTAACGGTTCCATACTTTAAAGTATATTAGAATTTACTCTTTCGCGAGTTAGCTAAGTTGGAAACAGATGGGTGGTCAATTGCAGGAAGTAGAAGTTTTCTTTTCTTAAATACAGAAATCTTTCCCAAATCAACGAAGAAAATAAAAAGAAAAACAAAATTCTTCGAGTGGAAGCAAAACAGAAAGAATTCGAATTCATCTGTGTGTGTGAGAGAGAGAGATCCAGAGCTTAAGGAATGGAGAAGATGAACCAGGCCTATGAGAAGGTGAAGATGCTGGTGGGTATGGAGATGGATGAGGACGACCATGAAGCTGCTTCTTCTTCTGCTCTACAGGATACCAACTTCATCGACGACTTCAATCGCAACTGCACATTGTCCACCAAACAGGTAATTACTCTACGACTTCAATTCGCAGAAAACAACTCATGGCTCAGACTCAGATCTGCCTTTCCTCTTCTTTTTTTTGTTTTTTTGTTTTTTCACTAAAATCTGAATAGTGGCTTTATTTTATTTTTGTGTGATTCAACAGAGGTTTTACGGTTTCGCCATATGCTTGGCTGCCGGTTTAACTTGTACGCTCTTGGTAAGTTTTAAGTATCTAATTGTTTTACTTTTGCTTTTCTTTTTGCTACTCATTTCTATTTTCACAGTGTTGTGTTATTATCCAAAGCTAAGATTTTAGTGAATGGATGGTGATTGTTGGGTAATATGCTTTCATGTTATTAAGACATCTACATGTTTTAGGAGCTTCAATTGTAGTCGGATGTACTATTGGCCTAACCATACTAACAAGAAAAATGTTAATACCCTAGTTTGAGCTTGATGCAAATTACTAAAATATCTTCTGCTTTATATGATTATCAATCAAATAAAAAGTTATTGTATGTATCAATCCTTACATCCCCTACCACAGGTGGGTGGGGTGACTGCCAGTTTTGGTATGTTGGGAGATATCATTATTGCCCAACCCAATGCTTACATTGCATTTGCGGGTAAAATAGTAATTGAACAAACATTGAATAAGACAGTGCCTGAGATTCACATGACTAATCCAATATTGCTCATTGGAAAAGAATTGGTACAACTACTTGGCATGACTCAGACTTGTCATTATGGTCTTGATAACCGTGCATGGTTTGGGTCATGTCTTTTTTTTTTGGTCGAAAGGTTTGGGTCATATCGGTGTCTAAGTTGTGTTAGATGGACAAATATCACTATTTAGTTCTAAAAGTGTTTGCTCTGTTTCAAGTACGCATGTCAGATCATAATTTGTTCACGTTATTTAATACCTTACCTGGATAAAAAATTTCGTGTTGGTTTTCTTGGAACTACTAGTTTCTCCTACCATGACACATTTGTGCTTAATAATTCTTGTTTCGGAATTGATTGCAAATCAAAATCTCTTACATTTTACTCCTTGTACACTTGCCAAACTCAATATTTTTTGAAAATATAGAAGGCTTCAGTATCATAATAATGCTTCTATCATGTGTTGTACATATTTAGTATCTACAATATGCTTTTAGAGGGGAAGGCATTGAAGCATCCTTGAACAAAGTACTAACAGTTGGACTATATGCGTTTTTTTTACAGTGTTGCTGGAAACTTGAACTCCTAAATCTAGTTTTTCAATTTAGAATCAAGTTAAAGTGACCTAGTAATTTTATTTTGTATATTACAGGACAATTGGAAAATTGACTTGAATACATGTTAGGGGCCTTCCTGCTATGGTACTGATATGCAGGCTTGTTTTCTTTTCATGTGACAGTCGATGCTTGTTTTCTTCCATCCCATCAAGTTTGGAATTACATTCACACTGGGAAATCTTCTTTCACTTGGGAGGTTTGTGTTAGATTTGCTTCTCATGTGATCCATAAGTGGTTTAAAATGTGATTGTCTTTTTTGTTGCAAATTTTGGTAAGGTAGCAATTGATGTCAGTCAACATGAAACAACTTGTGTGCTTAACCAAATAAATAGTAGTAATTGGTTAATTTACAAAAAGGTTTAAGTTTTTGTTTTTGTTTTTGTTTTTTTTTCAGTTGCTCTCTTGGAAATATCTGTGGAGCCTTGAGGCGTCCTAATGTGTGACATTAAAATTTCAGAATCTCTTCCTGGCTTTAGTTTAGTGGCCCAGTGTATTTGCCCCTTTTTTCTTTTTTTTCTGTTTTTCTTTTTGGCTAGCCAACTCGGAAGTAGGTCGGTTTTACTATCCGAATGTCCCATAGAACAAGTATATTTGCTCCCTTCTTGTGCATTCAAATTATTGTATTATCCCTCAATGTTTTTTCCTCTTTTTTTATTTTTATTTTTTATTTTTTGGGTCTGAAGTTCTCAATGTATTTCTCGTTTTTAAAAAACATTGACAGCTTGAGACCAAAGTGTCGAGATATATTATCCATCTCTCCAGGAAAATGGATATCTCCAGAAAAGATTTTTAGTTCAATTCTTTATTTCTCTCCATTAAAAAAAAATATAAAAAAGGGAAATTGAGAGCTAATACAACAATCTGAATTCGTAAGAAGGGAGCAAATGTACTCGTTATGTGGGACAGTTTGGTAGAAACTTGTTTCAATGTTTTTCTGGTTCTAAATTTTTTTCAGTAACTCTGTTCCTTAAAGAAAAAAAAAGACGCATTATTATTATTTTTCCTTTTATAAATTGGCTAGTGAAAATTTTACTCCACTTCAGATTTTAAGTTGGATTCTTTGGTCTGGCAGCACAGCATTCCTCATTGGCCCTAAACGGCAAGTGACAATGATGCTTGACCCTGTCCGTATTTATGCAACAGCCATATACCTTGCAAGTATAATAATTGCCTTGTTTTGTGCTCTTTACGTAAGTTTCACACTGGCTTTCCCCTTTGGTTCACTTTCTTTTTCTTAAGCATATTTTGAATAGTGTTATTTTCCTTCGAATAATTTTAGCATTTGATGCTATCTAATTTTCTTTTGCATTGAGCAGGTTCATAACAAGTTATTGACACTTTTGGCGATACTTTTAGAGTTTGGTGCATTGATTTGGTATGTGCCAGCATTTGCGTACTTTCTTGTTGTGGCCATTTACTGTCAATCTCATTCATATGTTATTGAGGAGTTGAGATCCACCTTCTTTTTAAGGGAAAAATTAACATATACCCCTGAACTTCAACTTGTTTGGCACTTTTTTTCTGAAGAATTGTCTTGGTTTCAACAGCCCTGAAACTAAAATATGTGGGAATTGTCAGGCTTTCCATCAAATACGTCCAATTTTCTGTTAAATTGGACATGTGATGCACACATAACCTTTTTACAGGTATTTTGTCTCTTTCTTCTCTTCTCCTTCTCTCTCCTTTCTCTCTCATCTCTCTCTATCTCAACTTGTCATTGAAGACATATATAGCAAAACAAAGCACTAGCACTTCTCATCTACTCAAATTAGTCAGCATCTGAGGTCAAATTGGACAAAGAAATTCCAATTACCTGAATCAATGAACATCTAGAAAACCCCAACTATCCCTGCTACGAAATTCCTAGCTGTGAGGTTGTACCACTGGATTTTCGAGTACATGTCTTCAATGAATTGGGTTTCTGCAAGAACAAGAAAATCCATTTATGGGTCACAACCATTGAGTAGCTAGAGGCCTATAAAATCAACATCTAATATTGGTACGAATAAGCTACACCTGTGGGTGCATTTAATATCTAGTGGGTCAAGGTCATACATGATTTAGAGGAAAGATCATTAGAGAATACATATTTCTGGAAACTCTGGATGCTCACCGATTCTGGTATTGGAATTTCATTTTCTGATTTGAATCAAGATGTTCACCTGTTTTAGTACATGAGAAGTGTTAGGGCTTTGTTTTGCTTTGTAGGTTTGGAATGGCAAACTGGGATAGAGAGCCAAGAGAGAGGAGAAAGAATGAAAGGGGAAGAAAGGAACGGAAATGTCCCCAAAAAAAGAAGTCGCATGTGCTTCGCATGTCAAAGGTTAAGAGAATTTGGCAGAATTAACGACATGCTTGCCATTGCAAAAGAATCATAGTTAGGGCGTATTTAAAACATAGTTTTTGTTCTTCCAATGGCAAAGTGCCAAACGAGCCAAACTTCATGGGGTATAGGTGAATTTTTCCCGACTCTTAATGTTGCATGTCATTTGTTTTCCTTTGGATAACTAAAGTCTCATTATAATTTATATATTATATATAGTGGGATCTTCTTTCTAGGATGGACTTTAGTTAAAGGACGAACATATCAATAACATCTCGATAATATATCAATAACATATCGATAACATGTCAATAATGTGTTGATAGATTTTAATAGGAAATAATTAAAGGACAGACGTCCTGCAGAGAGAATAAATATTTATGTGGAACATTAAAAAATTTAAAATGCATGAGTATTACGGGATTTTTGAAGTAACTTGTATGCTTAGGTGTCACATAAGTGTAAACTTACATTAGCTTTTAGCGAAGAAGAGCAAAGTGGATGAGGAGCAAAAGACAAGTCATAGATAAGAATTTAAAAGAGGAAGATAAAATTAGGGGTACCAATTTTGGAAATGACATGATAACATGCCATGAAATAACAGAAAATTAGAACAAAATTGACATGAATTATCATATTTGTAGTGTCAGGAAGTTTTTGGCACGATATTTTCATGTTAGTAGTTAAGCACAACATTGACAGGAAATAACTGTACGTTACAAAATAACCCTCCCGATAAAGTAAATGTGTTACTTGTGTTCTGGCTTGCCATCTATCTTAGTGTCAGGAAACATGTCATGTTCTGTTGTGCCATGTCAGTCAAAAACATGACCCAAAAAGATGATTGCCACCTACTGATAAAATAAAAGTTGGCAGCTTAGAAAAGGAGGCCTGTGCACACTTTAGAAGGCGACCTTGACAACTCCAAAATAGATTGCTAGTCCACTTAAAAACCCTAAACCCTCCCCTTAACTCATATAGGACCTGTTCACTGCCAACCTTTCCCAAACAATGAAATTATGTCAAAATTTTATATGATAAATTTCGATTCATCAAGGCACCATAGAATGATTTCATCTAGAGAACATGAACGTTTGTTTTTATTGCTATGGATTAGAAGTCCACTGCTTATTTGATGCAGTGGATTGGGATTAAAAGCAGAATCAGTCCACTGGCCAAAGTTTCCCCAGATTTCTGCCCTACGGCCTTGATTTTTCAACTCACAGTAATATCGCTTTTCAAGCAAGCAAAGCACATCATACTCATCTTTATTTGTTTGAGTTCAAAGTTTTGGGTATACTTGTCTATTTGCTTAATGCCCCCCTTTTTTCAGTAGCAGGAATTTAGATCAAGAACAGGAATTTTTTCCCATTCTATCCATATATTATGTTAGTCTAGTTTTGGAATGGAAACATAACTAAGGAATTTACCTAAGTTGACTGGAGTCAATTCCACTTAAGACCCGGAATGGAGATACAGAGGGTGGTATTTCTATGCCATAGAACTAGGAATGTAAAATCACTGCAAATGCCCTTTCATTATTTGGTTGTATTAAAATTAGAAACTTTCATTAATTGGCTGTATTAAAATGAAATACATTCCTATTCCAATTGCGTATTCCAGTCAAACAAACGGGGCCTAAGTTTCAAGTGGTTGATAGTGAATGGGACTAATGTGACAGGTTTACTAAAGCAATGTCGTTAAAAAAAATATAAATTTTTTTTGTTGAAGTTTGAGAATGTTCTTGCTTATATATATATATATACCCGATGTTGTATTGGAATCAGATGTATTACAATGTCTAATAACTAGTCTTCATGAATCTATAGTGTCCCTCATTTTGTGTTTCTCTATTGGTATGGTAGTATTCATTTATTTCGCATTGGTGTTTTGAGTAACAGGTATAGCTTGAGCTACATCCCTTTTGCTAGGGCCATGTTATCCAAGATCATGGTAGCTTGTTTTGACACTGATTTTTAGGCTGATATTCACCGAGGAAACGGCTTGGGACTCATCCATCGGAGTAGATATTTCCCAATATTAGTTTTTGTTTTGTGGCCTTGCACACAGAGATTCCAACCTAAAAGCACCACGAGATCGAAATGTAGTGTATGTGTATGGATTGAGATTGTAATTTCTACCGTTGTTGTTTATCCTCATCTCCATAGAAGGAAGATACTTCATTTCATTACCGTGCTCATAGAATGTGATCTATTTTTATGTCACGCCCCGAATTTTCAACAACAATTTGCAAATTTAAACAAAACAACCAACAATCCAGGATGTGAAGTTCAGAACCTTCAACAAAAGTACCTAGAAATTTAAATTTTTCTTTCTTGATACAACACCACTGTTCAAAACCACAATATCAATAATGACTCAACTCTTCTGAGTCAAATATTACATTACAAACTTACATAATGAAATGAACAATCATCATATTACATAATCTGCTCTTTAGAGGGATTAAAAGCAGAATCAGTCCACTGGCCAAAGTTTCCCCAGATTTCTGCCCTACGGCCTTGATTTTTCAACTCACAGTAATATCGCTTTTCAAGCAAGCAAAGCACATCATACTCATCTTTATTTGTTTGAGTTCAAAGTTTTGGGTATACTTGTCTATTTGCTTAATGCCCCCCTTTTTTCAGTAGCAGGAATTTAGATCAAGAACAGGAATTTTTTCCCATTCTATCCATATATTATGTTAGTCTAGTTTTGGAATGGAAACATAACTAAGGAATTTACCTAAGTTGACTGGAGTCAATTCCACTTAAGACCCGGAATGGAGATACAGAGGGTGGTATTTCTATGCCATAGAACTAGGAATGTAAAATCACTGCAAATGCCCTTTCATTATTTGGTTGTATTAAAATTAGAAACTTTCATTAATTGGCTGTATTAAAATGAAATACATTCCTATTCCAATTGCGTATTCCAGTCAAACAAACGGGGCCTAAGTTTCAAGTGGTTGATAGTGAATGGGACTAATGTGACAGGTTTACTAAAGCAATGTCGTTAAAAAAAATATAAATTTTTTTTGTTGAAGTTTGAGAATGTTCTTGCTTATATATATATATATACCCGATGTTGTATTGGAATCAGATGTATTACAATGTCTAATAACTAGTCTTCATGAATCTATAGTGTCCCTCATTTTGTGTTTCTCTATTGGTATGGTAGTATTCATTTATTTCGCATTGGTGTTTTGAGTAACAGGTATAGCTTGAGCTACATCCCTTTTGCTAGGGCCATGTTATCCAAGATCATGGTAGCTTGTTTTGACACTGATTTTTAGGCTGATATTCACCGAGGAAACGGCTTGGGACTCATCCATCGGAGTAGATATTTCCCAATATTAGTTTTTGTTTTGTGGCCTTGCACACAGAGATTCCAACCTAAAAGCACCACGAGATCGAAATGTAGTGTATGTGTATGGATTGAGATTGTAATTTCTACCGTTGTTGTTTATCCTCATCTCCATAGAAGGAAGATACTTCATTTCATTACCGTGCTCATAGAATGTGATCTATTTTTATGTCACGCCCCGAATTTTCAACAACAATTTGCAAATTTAAACAAAACAACCAACAATCCAGGATGTGAAGTTCAGAACCTTCAACAAAAGTACCTAGAAATTTAAATTTTTCTTTCTTGATACAACACCACTGTTCAAAACCACAATATCAATAATGACTCAACTCTTCTGAGTCAAATATTACATTACAAACTTACATAATGAAATGAACAATCATCATATTACATAATCTGCTCTTTAGAGCTCATTTCACACAGCGGACGACTAACACTCACCAACACTCTCACACCACACTTTGCACTATGTGGAACCACCAACGAGCCTCCTGCTCCTCACCTTAATTCTCCTGCTCCCGGTCTCTACCATCTGCAGGATTTTTCCCTACACCATCGAATAGTGTACCGGGTTCACCACAGAACAACCCGGTAAGCTTTATAAAGCTTGTATGAGTAAACCACGTTCACAATATAATATGTCAACTTACACATAAAATACAAACACATGCACTTTCATTAGCACACCACAATCCTTGTATAACCAAGGTAATCATAATCATCAATATCATCACAATCACAATTCTTTTATTTTAAATAAATAAAGAACTGTTTCGAACACCACTTGTGACCACACCAAAACTCTTTTATTTCAAAGTAGTTTTAACACGTCATTTATTTGACAGATAGAAGAGAGAATACTATGAACCTCTAATCTATAACACTACAAAACTCCAAGGTAATGTTCACTCATGATTACACTCCAGTCATGAGTACTAGATGGCGCCAGACTAGAGCTCTAACTGTTCTTGGGTCTTGCTCCCTAGGGTAATTTATCCCTCATTATTTGCCACGAGAATGCCCACCTGACAAACTCAGAAGGGATTCAAGGTATTCTCACCTAAATCCATCAACACCAAAACACCAACACCAAAACACCAACGCCAAAACAATATAAAATGTCATTTCACATTAAACATTGTTTTATAGCGAAATACACCAATCACAGCAATATATATATTTATTATATATATTTATGTGGTTATTCACGAATGAATTTCCACCATACATCCACAACATATGTTATATGGTTAAACACCAAAATCTCCAATAATAATAATTAATTCAAAACAAAATAGGTTTCACTTACCTCATGAACCGTTGATGAACAAGTTCATGTGTTTTAAATCAATTAAAACATTTTACAAAATCACAACCAACATGTTAATTATAGCCATTAACATTATCCAAGGTCACCTTATAATAAATATAATAATCCGTGATTTTACTCACGATTAGGATGGTTTTACTCACCTTTCGTCCAAGCTGCGTCTTCAACAACTTAACGAATCCTCAATCTCTACCTCTCGTCCAAACTGCGTCTTCAACAACTTAACGAATCCTCAATCCCAAACTTCAACGAGCAACTCAAACTCCAACAGTACCTAAGCAAAGTACATAACTCAACTTAGTGCAAAACTCCAAAATCCAAGATTTCGTATCTAATGACGAAATTGCCCTTTGGACCAACCGGTGATCCAAAGCGATCAAATCTCGTCCAACCAACTTCAAAACTGTTACGTACGTGCTGTCGACGTCAAATCATGATCAATGACACCTATTGTCCAAAAGGTCACTATTTGGGTCCCGTGGGTCCCACATGTCTAACCGACACTCCAAAAATCCGTCTTGGGCCCACAATCTCAGATTTCAAATCCGATTGCACCAATAGACTCTAAATAGTCCCGACATCACCCTACGACAATTCGGGCCCAATCCAACGGTCGGATTATTCTACATTACACGATCGAATGGCGATCGCTCGCCTTAACTTTGAAACATGATAACTTAAGATCGGGACGTCCGATCATCAATCTGTCTAAACCTACAAAATCCTCACAACACCAGCTACAACATAATTAAAATTGCACACGATCCAACGGTCCGATCATCTCCAACCAACGGTCCAGATTTGTGAGGCTCCGATCGTCGACTAAATGACGGAATCTCAACAATTTAAACATACTATCATGTTCAGTAACTCCAGGACTACATTCTGTCTCTAAAGCCCTAACTCAAAATCCCCACCCTGCGCCGCCACGTGCCGCCACCGCCGGTGGTGGTTCGGGTACTATTTCGGCGACTGACCAACCCTAGAATCGCCGGTCAAGACCTACACCAAAATGTTCATAATACTGAGTAGAACAACTTTAATTCTTACCTTAAGGTCCAATTCGAAGTGTAAGTGGCTCAAACTGCCGGTTGAAGTTGTTGAATTCACTGTTGATGAACACACCTCCGATGACTCCGATTCTTCTTGGGTTATGCTCACAAGATAGCAGGCTTTCTATCTGGGTTGGTGGTGTCGATCACCTCTACCGTACACCGCCGCAACAGCCGCCGGAATTCGCCTATCCGACGAGCTCTCAAAGTAGCCGCCGGAATTCGCCTATTCGACGAGCTCTCAAACCTCCGGGTTCAATTGCAATTTCTGAACCCTCAACAGTGTCCATCTGATATTTATAGGCAAAGTCTCTGTTTGCAATTAAGTCCCTGAAACTTCAAACGAGCATAACTTCTTCGTTTCAACTCCGATTCATGAACCGTTTGCGCCTACGCGTTCGGGAGATCAATCTCGATTTTCCAATTCAAAAATCATAATTTTCTCACTTCAATTTCTTGTACTTCCTTTGAAAAATCATAAACTTAATCATAAGGGTATTTTTGTCCCAATTTGATTAAACTCACTTAATTCCAATATTTTTACATCAAACCAAATTCATACAACACCCAAAATAGTTACACGACTTAATAAGATTTTCCACAAAAATAATAAAACCAAATATTATTTTTGAGGTCATTACATTTTACACCAACAACTTTAAAAAAAAAAAAATGAAGTACACGATTTAATTTTTATCACCAATTCCCTCGTACTGTCTAAATCTCAACATTTCATCCAATTTTCTGTTAAATCATTAAAAGAAATTTGGAAAAGATTGAAGAAAAAAAATAACAAAAACAAAAAACGAAAAAAAAATCCTAGGGACCCATAGAGCATAGACCCATAACCCAGCTCCCCTACAATGTTTTCTTCTCCCATTCCCCATGACCACAACCCCCCGCAAGCCAACCTTCCCCCCCCCTCCCCCCTTTCGTTTTTTTCCCCCCCAGACCATTTACCCCCCTCCCCATCCTCACCCCGATTCCTTCTCCCTCGATTCCCCAATGACTACCACCCCCAAGCTCGAAACCCCAAACGAATCTAGAACCCACAAACCCATTTGAGCTCCCCCCTCCCCTCTATTATTTTAATTACAACAAAAGGGAAGGCAGATGTGAAGTAGGTGGGCCCCTATGTTTATTAAAATGTTTTTATTTATTAGTTTTGATTTCATATTATTTTGACATATAAAATGACTAATTTGCCCTCATATTTAACGGCAAATTGGATGAAATGTTGTGATTTACACAGTAAGGGGTTAATTGGCAATAAAATTAGTTTGTGTACTTAATTTTCCAAAAAAAAAGTTGAGGGTGCAAATTGAAAGTAGTGTACAAGTTCAGGGGGTAAATTGACAGTTAACCCGTAGCTCAAATGCTTCTTTTGCGAGGTCGGAACGAGAAATTTTAGAAGAAGTGGGTTGGTATGGTTAAATAAAAATAACAATAGTAAAAATTAGGCAACCCAAGAACAACTACTAATGCATGTTTACTTACTATGAATGGGGAGCCATGAATCTGGGAATTCAAATAAGGGAATCAAGGAATTGGAATCGGATCAACTACTATCACCTAGTTGATCCCATTCTCGATTTTGAGGTTGTTCGATTACTAATTTTAAGGTGGAACCCATGTAATTTTGTTATTCCTTATGTGTTAATAAACACAGGGAAATCAGGAACTGGAATCATTCCAATACCTATTCTTGATAAGTAAACATGCCATAAAATATGTTTGACTTGTTAACATCATTTGAGCTAGAAGAATATGACTTATGTTATACCAGTGAATTGTAGAAGTGAAGAAACTACATATCGGAGCTTGTTGCAATGGGCTAAAATGTGAAGACCCGTATTTTAAATAGATAAAAGAAGATATTTATCTTTAGGATAAACTTGGACGATATTATCTTTTTAAGATATTTATCTTTTGGATAAACTTGGATGATCTTATCTTGTTAGGATATTTATCTTTTAGATAAACTTGGATGTTCTTATCCTTTTAATATTGAAGTATATCGTATCCCTATAAACACTATAAATAGGAGCATATCCTTCTAGTTTCAAAACATGAGAAATTAGAAAGGAGAGAGAGTGGTGATGAAACTCTTGGAGCTTGGTTTGGGTGATAGTACATGAAGATAGGTAGATGGGTTGTCTTGCCAATTTATTTTAAGGGCTCTCATTATCGAGGTGAGTGGTTTATGTAATGTGTTCTAAAAGTTCTTATTTTGTGCTAAAATATGAAAATCATGAATTATCGTGGATTTATTCTATTTACAAATATCTCTCCATTTCAAGTCAAGCATGTCTAATTTGGTGCAATCTTTCGCACTATATATATATATTGATTGGAATATTTATGAAGTATGTATTATTTATGGAACATGAGAACTTCAATGTTGGAGTATCCGAGGGATAGATGTACCACACAGGGACATAGGGCAGTAAGGCCAATAGGGGTCACGTGGTTGGGTACATGCTATGGAGGATAACCGACATAGGAAGGGATATTGTGATATGATCTGGATTGGTGTATCTTTTCATGATATTTTCTAGAGTGTGTAAAACGACATTGCTTGACTGGCATATTACATAATCTACTCACTGAGCGGTGGTTGCTCATCCCTCACCCTGTTTAATTTTTCAGATGAATTAGTGGGCAAGACAATGACTAAATCGGTTGAGGCTGAATTAGATGAGTGTGATAGGGCTTTATTTATTTATTGTAAAGTTGAAAGATTTTGAATATATTTTTGTAAGAGAAGTTTATTTTAAACCCATGTTTCGGCTTCTTTTTATTTTATTTTACTTTCTCACGCACCGGGCACTGGGTTTCAACCGACCCTCGGGTCCGGGGCCTGATAGAATGGTATTAGAGCCCATGAATTAGATACCCTTAGGAACACTGTGGTTTAAACATTTGTGTTAGATAAACTTGAATTCATGTAGTGACAAAGATTTTTAGGAGTAAATTGTCTTGGGTAATATGCTATAAATTTCGAGGACGAAATTTCATTTAAGGAGGATAGATTGTGAAGACCCGTATTTTAAACGGATAAAAGAAAATATTTATCTTTTGGATAAACTTGGACAATAATATCTTTTTAAGATATTTATCTTTGGGATAAACTTGGATGATCTTATCTTGTTAGGATATTTATTTTTTGGAGAAACTTGGATGTTCCTATCCTTTTAATATTGAAGTTTATCCTATCCCTATAAACACTACAAATAGGAGCATAACCTTAGCATGTCTAATTTGGTGCAATCTTTCACACTATATATATATATATATATATATATATTGATTAGAATATTTATGAAGTATGTATTAATCATGGAACATGAGAACTTCATTGTTGGAGTATCCGAGGGATTGATGTACCACACCAGGGCATAGGGCAGGGAGGCCAATAGGGGTCACGTGGTTGGTTACATGCTATGAGGGATAACCGAGATATGAAGGGATGATGTGATATGATCTGGATTGGTGTATCTTTTCATGATAATTTTTAGAGTGTGTAAAACAGCATTGCTTAACTCGCATATTACATAATCTACTCACTGAGCAATGGTTGCTCATCTCTCACCTTGTTTAATTTTTCAGATGAATTAGTGGGCAAGATAAGGACTAAATCGGTTGAGGCTGAATTAGATGAGAGTGATAGAGCTTTATTTTTTTGTTGTAAAGTTGTAAGATTTTGGATCTTTTTTTGTAAGAGAAGTTTATTTGAAACCCATGTTTCGGCTTCTTTTTATTTTATTTTACTTTCTCACGCACTGGGCGCGGGGTTTCCACCGATCCCAGGGTCCGGGGCCTGACATAAATGGTCAATAGGTTGAACTTATAGGGAAATTGGCAACTTTGCTATTGGCTTACATACTTGTTAGAAAAATACCCTGCCTCTGAAAATATTGCTAAAATGCCCTCTACAAGGCCATCTCCAACCCATGAGGCCAAACCCAAAAAATCCCAAATTATTGCCCAAAACCTCTCCCAACCCAAGAAAATGAAGGGGCCAAAATTTATGAAAACCCAAACTTGGACCCAAATAGCAGTCCAAGTATTGCCTGGACCTAAAAAAAAAATTAGTGGAGCCCACCTGCTGCGTTAGTAGCCCATGTGGAAGATGCTG